CTCGAACTAAGCATAGATAGGTTTTGAAATATATTCGATATCTCCATCTATTGTTTCTCGTAACGCCTAGACTAGCTTGATCACCTAGCCTTTGATTTTTAGGTTAAATTTACTCATCAAAAGTGTTGTGAATTGCTTGAATTAACATAGATGGACGATTCGTCCTTAGCCAACGACAGTTGAAGTTAAGGCGAGTTGTGAACAAATCGATCCTATCCTCTTTAATGTTCATCATTCTTTGGAATCTCAAACGACAGTTTAGGATGTTAGATTGATTGATGATGTAGTTGATGCCACGACAGTGGGTCCTCTTGAATTTATGATTGAGTTCTAGATTGGTTCTTTAATGATAAACTGAAAAATTGTTTGGTTCTTGATGATCTAATCCCTGAGATACTTCCCCTTTATCTAGCGTTTTAATTATTATTGCTTACACCGAATTTACTTTTATTTGCTTGATTAATTGTGACAACTCAAACCACTTGATTGCTTAGCTGAATTGGTATTGCATAAGATTAGAGTGTATTGCTGGTCCCTTTGAACGAACCTCATTATTCTACATCGGATTAGTAATTCTAGGTTTGAAATCTTTAACCGGACAAAAATCCCTTTTATCAGCCACAAAGCCACATACAATCGCGGCCCAAGGCTCTACAACCGCGCAACCCGATGATATAGCCACAAGGCCGCTTAGTATACCGGTGCAAACGTGTGTTACATTCCAATGGCCGACTAGGAACCGTCTACTGAACATAGTGGTCAACGCCCCGGTGCATCTAGACAGTGTCATTGTGACGGTCGTTCGTCCTATGGCACTCCATTGACCATAGTTAGGAGGAGAAGCACCATAAGATTTTAAAATGGTTAAAAAATAACCGGCAGTGAACCCGTACCATCCTAACCACAACAAGAGTGTACCAAGGACAACAAGCAGTACGATGTGACCACGGATTTCTGTGGCACGGTTTTCTTGGTGGTTAAACCGACCGATTCTTGGCCCTAGAGTTAAAGATCTCCAACGACCGGCTATCTCACCGGCCATGTGAACCACACCCGAACCGGCAAAATCAATTGCACTAGAGCCTAGAAAAAGAATGTTGTTGGTCAGAGTTGGACTTGCCCATCCATCATTCGACCAAAACCAATGTGAGATAACCGGATAGACAAAACCGGTCAAAAAAGAAGAATATACAAGGTAAGCAACAAATTGAGTACGTTCAGCCATCGAGCCACTTGTGATTCCAGAGGCAGTGATAGCATAAGTCCATTGAAAGAGAAAGAAGCTGAAGTCATAACCAGAGCCTTCAGGGAATGAGTTTAAGGCAAAGAGGTTGCGGTGACCACCGATGAAACCATTGGAAGGCATACCAAAGGCCAAAGCAAATCCAAAGAGATAGTAAGGATCGATCCTGAGGCAGCATCAAGGATACTACATAACATGATGTTTTTGGTGCGGATCGAACCAGTACTTAGCATGGCAAAGCCTATTTGCATGGTGAAAACTATGTAGGTAGAGAAAAAGAGGTATGTGGTATCGACCGCGAAGGTTGTGTCTGAAATTTTGTGGGAAATGGTTGAGAAGTGATAGCAAAGAAGGGATGTTGCGGCTGAGGAAGAGTTGATGTTAGAGGAAGTGGCGAGGAGGTTGGCCAGGTCAGAGGCAGAGCAAATGTTGGTGGATGTGATCATGATATAAAATGTGGTTTGTGTGAGAGTTTGGTCCTTTAGTGGAAGGGTATATATATATAAAGTAAACTAAGTATTATAAGTTGAAGAAGAACTGGCAATAGAAAAGAATAATAACCTGGTTTAGCTTTGCACTCGAGATTCATTGACTTCTTCTCGAGGCGTTTGGAGCTCCCTCGTCTCCTTTATCCCTACCGCATATTCGAATCATGTGTTATGTGGTTTGGTTGTTCTTTGGAAGGATGACACTTAGATTTGTCAGAGTTAGAGTTGTCTTACTTGGATTTTAAATTTGGTGTTAGCATACTTTCTAGCTATAG